TCATTTTTGTCCAAATCAGATGAACGTGAATCAGGCAACATTTTATTACGTTGATTGCGGTATGTATTGCAGCAGTTCGGAAATGAACGTACCACCAACATGAAACCCTACCCTATATCCAACCAATAGTGTTAACAAAAGCAAACATGAGATAAAAAAATGCATTTGCTGAAGAAACCATGCCATTTTAGCTTGATGCTACAAGTGCAATGCTGTACCAGGTGCGCTACAGAGCAAGTTTACTATCTTTGAAAAGCCATACATATGGAACTGTTTATGCGTTGCAAATGCCAGGCGCTGAAGTCATAACATAGTATTGTGCAAGGAACTATGCGGAAATAAGTGTTTATTAATCCATAGTCTGCCCCAAATTTTTTTTAAAAGAAATAAAAGTTGTTGGTGTTTTACTGCCTCTAGTGTTCATTTCAGCTGGAAATGGCTGTGAATTGTATATACACAGTAGGTACGTTTTTGGAGTTTTGCAAAAATATAGTTAGAGTCACATATTTCCAATGATTTTCAATATTGTGTGATATTGATTTCGAATTCAGCAAAAGGAAGGCATCTTAGGACGCATAATAATGCAGCTTACTGCCAATCTTTTATACCAGGCTTCACAACTTGGAGTGCTTGTGATGCCTACAGAGGGAGCTTACTAGGTTTTGGAACAGAGCCAGCAGTGACATCTGCTAGTAAGAGCCCTGGGAAATGCCTACTGCCCAGAAGTGAAATCAGCTTATTTGCTCTGTACTTGGTGAAGACACCTCAGAGTCATCTGTAAGACCTCTAGACTCTGTAATTATGCAGGCAGCAACAATCTGAATCAGTGAGGACTGTACTGGCCACTGCTGGTTTTGCTAGATACAGCTGCACAAAGACTTTCACAATCACTTTACTGGCCCTCATATCCTGTTCAAACTCTCTCCCGATGGCTGCGGACATTTACATGCTCCATTTGTAATGCTGAAAATATTCAGAGGGATATTTTCTGTTTTCCATATATAGTTCCTTGGTTTCCAGAGATGTTGACTTATTGCTCTAGATACTTTGAGATATTTTAATATGGTGGTATTATTTTACTCTTACTGAACAACATGTGAAAGAGCGATATGGATCATAGCATGGGTGATTTCAACATATTATATTACATACAGTTTTATGTTGGGGATTGATGTTATTTGGAGAACAAATGGTGACTTGGTGTTCATAAGTTATTTTCAATATCATTCCTACTGGATTTAATAAAAATGTAATTACAATGCTTATACCATATTGATGTTCCACAAACAAAGTATTGAGAAATTGAAAATTCTCTCATAATTTACTCACCATCATGCCATCCATAAATGTATATAACTTTCACAAACCAAACAAGATTTTTAGAAAAATAACTCTGTAGGTCCATTCAATGCATGTATAGGTGACCAATACTCCAAAAAGCACATAAGGACAGTATTAAAGTATCCATATATGTCTTTTGAGGTGGTCTAACTGGTTTGATCTAATTAAGATTTCAAATTTCAAGATAATCAAAATGTAAAGCTGCTATTTTGAACTTTCCTGAAAAAAGTACCACAGTTTCCACAAAAATATGAAGCAGCACAACTACATTGATAATAGTAAGGAATGTTTTTATGAGCAGCAGATCAGCATATTAGAATGATTTCTGAAAGATCATGTGACACTGAAGACTGGAGTAATGATGTTGAAAATTCAGCTGTGATCACAGCAATCAATTACATTTTAAAATATATTCAAAAAGCAACCAGTTACTTAATATTTAATTAATAATATTTCACAATATTATTATTTTTACTGTATTTTTGAACAAATAAATGCAGCCTTGATGGGCATTAGCCTTGGTGAGCTTCTTTCAAAACCGTTACATTTTTTTACAGTTGTGCAACAGTACTGCAACTCTTGGAGTAAATAAATTTTTTCTGCAATTAACTGAACTCAAACCAATTGTTGTAACTAGTGGTCGACCGATATATCGCCAAGGCCGATATATCGGCCGATATTTGGCATTTTTCAAATATCGGCCGAAACAAATCTTTGAATGGCTAATGAAAATGTAATTTCACAAACCTTGCAAACTTAGTCGAATCCAGTTGTGAGATCATGTGAAGTGTGCATGTGACCTGCATGATCGCGTGTGCTCTGCGTGACGGTCGGTCTGTGCGAATTGAATGCTTTAAACATTAAATTTGTGATTTCAAATTATGCTGTGCTTTATGCATTTGTCCACTGTCATATTCATGTAATTTTCACTGTGTGCTATATGTAAAATGAGTGTTACCTTGGCTTTATTTGAAAAAACATGATTCCCAGTGCACACAAACTTCCCAGAATACTGTTGTGCTCTGTTGGTTAAAGTTTACTTCCTTTTTAATTATATTTTTTATTAAATATTTATTTATTTTGTGAAAAATACTTTGTCATCTAAAGTATAAGTACGTTTATTTTACAAATTTATTTTTTAATCCATTTTAAAAGGATTTAAAATTTCTTAAATATTAATTAAAATAAATACAATTATATCAGCTTTATATCGGCGACCCTGCTTTCCAAGATATCGGCTGTCAAAAAAACAATATCGGTCGACCACTAATTGTAACATACAGACTTTAAAGTTTTTTGTAAAGGGTTTATTCTTACAGTAGATGCTCTTTCTTAGTTTATTATTATTATCTTCTGTTGTCAAATATAGAATTTGTTGGTCTTTAACATCTGTTTGCAACTGCATACTGAATTGTGATTAATCTTTTCTTTTCTTGCAACCATATAGTGTCTTTAGGGGCTGTTGCATTCAAAAACAGCTTGATGCATCGCAGACACATTTGTAAAAGTTAAACATTTAACTTGACATGCAGAACCAAAGCCTAAAACCTAACCCTTTTCCTTTACTGTCTTACAAAACACCTGTATTTCAGTATAGTACACCACATGAAATAAAGTTAGTCTGTCTAAATAAAATTCCCAAAGCATCATTATGCGTTGTTAAGGTTGAGGGATACATATTTTGATAATGAATTACCTGTATATGCATGTTGTTTTCTTTTTCTTGTCATCTAAATCTCAAAGAAAGGTCTGAAACTCCTCCCATGTTCAGTACTCTGAAAATCTTAATCTTAACAGGAATGCACATTTCTTTTTTGGCTCTGCAGTGATGTTGTAATTAGTGGGTTATCATTAAAAACATATTAAGCAGACAGGCTCTTGACATTTTTTTTTTTTTCAGATGACCAACATCAGATTATTGGAATGTGAATAACCCAATTTAATTGGAATGTGAATAAACCCAATTTCTGATGTTGATCATTACCATGGAGAGGAAGTGAAGACAAACTAAAATGCTACATGCAGCAGCTTTATCATTAAAATGCAGTTATATACAGTAGATGTACCTTTTTTCCAAGTATTTAAAAGGCTAATATAATAGAGTAAGAGTGTGAATGATGGATATAAACTCTGTCAAAAGATTTGAATAATTTTCAGTGTTTTTTGACAGAAGTCTCTTCTGCTTACCAAGGCTACATTTGTTTAATCGAAAAAACTGTAAAAACAGTAATATTGTTAAATATCATTGCTGTCACAGGTTGTGTTGCAAAGCAAGGCGAAGGCGACACCAGGTAAAGTCCAAAACTCTCAGTTTAATAATGGACTCAAAACTCAGGCAGATAAACAAGGGAAACCACAACTAATGCCGAGTTCACACTGCACGATTTTCAAAGACGTAGCATCACTGTTGGTTTCACACTGAATGACTATCTGGGGTAACATTCAGTTGTTGCTGTGTTCACACTGCACGATGGAACGAGGACAGGAGGTTACACACTGCATGACTTTACAATAGGAAGAATCGCCAACAGCTCTGTCTGGTGCAGGGTTGCCAGGTTTTCGCTACAAAACTGAACTTTTCCACGACATTCTAATTTATTGAGATGCACCTGTAAGGGTGCACAGGAACTAAAACAAAACAGAACACAGGAAAACACAGAAACAAGGTGTCCACGGCAACTAAAAGGGTGACAATTGCAATTTAAAATAACTATTTTCTATTTGAATATATTTCAAATGTAATTTATTCCTGTGATGGCAAAGCTGAATTTTCAGCACCATTACGCCAGTCCTCAGTGTCACACAATCCTACAGAAATCATTTTAAAATGCTGATTTGGTTTTCAGTTATTATTAATTATTACTGATGCTCATTTATTAATAATGGCTCTTATTATCATCAGTGTTGAAAAGTTTTTTTCTGCTTAATATTTTTGTGAAAAATGTGTTACATTTTATTTCAGGATGAATAGAAAGTTCAAAATAAAAGCACTTAATAGAAATAAAAAAATTGTTTGTAGCATTACAAATGTTTTCACTGTCACTTTTGACCAATTTAATGCATTCTTGCTGAATAAAATTGTTTATTTATTTATTTTTTGTACTTTTCCCTAAACTTTTGAATGGTAGTGTATCATGGTTTTCACAAAAATATTAAAAGCAGCAAAACTGTTTTCAGCATTGGTAATAATAAGAATGTAAGCATACTGGAATGATTTCTCAAGGATCATTCAGCTTTCACGAATAAATCGCATTTTAAAATATATTGAAATAGAAAACAGTTATGTTAAATTGTAATAGTATTTCACAATATTGCCATTTTTATTGTATTTTTAATCAAATAAATGCAGCCTTGGTGAGCATAAGAGGCTTTTAAAAAATTTAATTATTTCATTTGTTTACTATATGGACATACTCTAACATTCACAATCTCTGCACAAACAGTTGTCCAAGAAAATAGCTGAAATTACATTTGAAATTCATAGTTGGGCAGTGACAACAATGAGCACATTAACATGATTGTCCAGTGTCAGAAAGAGAGTGAGAGTTTGTGATTAAATCCAAATTATGACTATTTTTGGTGCAAAAAAACCCTACACTAAACGTATTAGTGGGAATTGACCTTTACCTTTTAACATGTGTGTCCTTTTTGCCCCACAGGTCATGGAGGAGACAGATACTCAGATTGCATGGCCTTCCGTGTTTCTTAGCTGTGGTGCACTAATTTCAGTCAATCAGAATGAAATCAATTCAATTTGAGATTCTGAAAGTTCTGTTCATATGAACCCTGAACTTTGCAATCCAATTCACATATTTGTTTAATAAATAAAGTGACTTACAGTGCGCTGCTAACGCAATGCTCTACCACTGAGCCACAGGAAAACATTTACACTTTTACACGTGGATTACATCTATTCTGAGCAAGATTTCTGTGCATGTGCAATGCCCAGTTGCTGCATTCAGAACTGGAAAAAGCCACTGTGAAAACGTCACCATATATCTACTGCAAGCAAAATAGCCATTTTTGCCTTGATGATGTGCCTGAAAAGAAATTTGACATACCCGTCAGAAAAGCTTTTTAGCAAATATGTAGTAAACGTTCAGGGTACGTTTACACAACAACGATTGTACTAAAAATGTTTTTTCCTTTGCCTTTTTTAAAAGTTTTGTGCACAGACGACAACATTGTCGAAACGATCCCCGTTCACATGGATCTGTAAAAATGCTGTATTATGCATTGCCAGGCCAGTAGTTGGTGATGTCACTTTGTAAAGAAACACTACGCACCAGCACACATAACAATGGACTGAACACGTAATGCATATGCATATGATGTCACTGTTTTTACAAATTTTTGTAGTTTACACTAAGACGATAATATTATTGTTTTCAAAAACTTGCCCTTTTTTAGCCTGTTTTTAAAAGTTTGCATTTTTAGGCTTCCAAAACGCATTGCCGTGTAAATGAATGACCAAAACGCATAAAACATTTTCCATTTTTAGTTGAAAACGGTGTCGTGTAAATGGCTCCTCCACTGACCAGTAAGATGCAGTGCATTAAGAAACATACATATCAAGTCACTGTATGTGTGTGCAAGCTATTTTGGATTCTGATTAAGAATGTAGTCAGATTCAAGGGTTTACATAGCTAACATTTTCATGTTAAACAGATTATTTAAGATTTACACCGCCCCTTTCAAATAGATCAAAATTTCATTCAGTTTACATGAATCATCAATCTGATTATAAATGCATTATTCGATTGCATGTAAACGTACCTACAGTACTGTTTAGCATTCAGCACTCTTGCTCTTGTTTCACTGGAATTTGTCTTATCGAAGTGTTACATAAATGGTGTGGTTGCAAAACAACATTTTCAATCTCTTCACATAGTCATCACTGACAGTATCTTGGCTTAAGGGTCAGATGGATCCTTCTAGTAGTATCTCAGCATTGGCTACCCTGATTATGGGCGTCTTTTGTCTAAGTTATCGTAAGAAGAGGACAACTTGCGCTTTGGATTATCAGTCCTGTTTTGACAATATGTTTGTTTGGAATATCATCATATTTGCAGTGTTTCAGTGGATATTCATGAGAGGTTTGCACTGGGCTGCTTCATTTGTTTTGGAATCTTCAGAAACTTCGGTTCTTCCTTTTTACCGCTGTACCTATTAAACTTTGGCACATAACTCGACCTGAACTACTGCTATAGAAAAATGTATTATTTTGCAACAGGAAACTGAATGTGGAAACGAATGATTAAATCATGTGGCTTTTTGAGAAGAGGTGCGCTATTGTTTTTCTAAACATTCAGACTTACAATATTTGACTCTTTTGACTTGGAAAAGTAAGCAACCACCCAGAACAGCATGCACTGCAAACACAAAGCAGTTTGTGAGAAAATGTAGAAGTCTTGTTTATAGTGGTTTCTCATCTGAAACATTTAGCTAAAATGTTTAAAGGGTTAGTTCACCCAAAAATGAAAATTCTGTCATTAATTACTCACCCTCATGTTGTTCCAAAATATATCAAAAATATCTTAAATTGTGTTCCGAAGATGAACGAAGGTCTTATGGGTTTCGAACAACATGAGGGTGAGTAATTAATGACAGAATTTTCATTTTTGGGTGAACTAACCCTTGTTAAAACATCTAGCAGAGGTTTTTAAGATGTTTATGACTTATGTGAATTTGCTCTTTTTAATAGATTTTGAACACTTGCATTACCATTCAAAAGTTAGGATAAATGAAGCCTTGATGAGGATAAGAGATTTTTTCAAAAATATGAAAAAGTTTTACCAACCAAATTTTTAAATAATAAAGTTCAAAGTACCAAAAATACCATATTACATGTATTTTGGACCTGCATACCATTGTTTTGACATGTACCATGGCACTACTATGATTTTTTGAAAGTAACTTTATTCTTGGAATTAACTGGTAAAACAAGAAGCAATTGCAGTACCATGGTATTACCATCTGAAACATCACTGTACCATGGTACTTCCACAGCACTTAAGGGTACAATTCAATGCTTTCCAAATGATGCACTCTTTCACAGAGGTCACAGCAAAATACTGGTGAACTTTGCTGAGCGTCATTTGATGCTGAAATAGTTTCTAAGCCAAAATGTCAATCAAATAGTTCTTGCGCAATTATACAAGTGTATAATTTCTCTTTAAACAGTCATGTTCATGTAATAACGTCGCGATCAAGAGGACGGAATGCAAACAATGACAACAACAGCTTGGCCATTCCAAACAAATATCAGATCAAGTTCATATGTGCTAACAATAAGTTTTCAGGGTCACGGCCCAAATCAAAGGCCATTCACATTCCTGCGCGTAGTTTATGTTGGCTAGCTGCCATGTGCATTGCCTGCACTGGCAGAAATGTTACATAATCATTTGCGGTTATTTGGTGAATGCATGCAGCAAACATCCCAGCTAATTAATGATGGAAAACACATGCACGGTTCTGATATGTGGACCGCACCAGGCCCGGCTTAGCCCGTGTGGCCTTCAGGGATCTGCTGGATCTGCTGTTTCCTGCGGGTCTGTCTGCAGCTTATTACGACAGTTAAGAGGTGTTGATCCTGCGCAACAGCTCTGGAACAAAACAGGCTCCGGTCAGCTCGATAGCACAGCATGCGTTTGAGCCAACAGCCTTGACTTTGGGTCCGCCTCTGAGGCACGTAGAAAGTGATGTGGGTGTATGTGATTGTTGAGGAGCAGAGATGTTTGTAGTTCAGGGCATTGAATGTGCTAGCCCTAAACTAATCCACTTTATTCAGATATCTTTTGACAGAAAAGAAGTATGTGAATATATAATTCCATGTAAACAAACCCATGACATTATCATTTATGCAGTGTTGGGGGTAACGCATTACAAGTAACGCGAGTTACGTAATCAGATTACTTTTTTCAAGCAACTAGTAAAGTAACGCATTACTTTTTAATTTACAAGAGAATATTACTAAGTAATGTAATTAGTTACTTTTTTATGGAGTACCACAATATTACAATGCATTACTTTTGAAAGTAACTTTCCCCAACACTTCATTTATGTGACTGCATAGATTCATATATTTTATTGCATGTAGGGCCATATATATATATATATATATACAGTATATACAGTATATACATATATATATATACACATATATATACAGTATATACAGTATATATATATATACACACATTATATATTAAACAGTTGTGTACAATTTTTTCAAAAGAAGCATTTAGCTGAAATTTCACAATATTATAGCAGTATTTCACAATATTACTGTTTTTGCTGTTTTTTGGTTGCATTTATTTGATCTAAAATACAGCAAAAACAGTAATATTGAGAACAATTTACCACAAATTATATCTTTTAATTGCTAAGCAATTAGAAAACACTCTCTTCACCCTAAATGTGTGTCATTTACAATCTTAAAAACTTGCCTTTACAATACATATAGGCAATCTGGCCAACTTGATTAGAATATGAGTATTCGAATATGATCGTCATAATCATATCAAGAAACTGTAAAAACATCATACAAGTTGGATGGTCATGTGAAAGGATTTGATAAGTAGAATATAATGAGAGTATTTGTTTAATTCACTAAAACCCCTCATATGCACATTTAAGTACAAGCCCAAACCAAATGTTACAGTGTGTAAATCTCTAAATGATCTTTAAAAGCCGTCATGACACGCTGCTTGACATATGACACTAGGACTTACATTTACAGTACAAACTAAAAACACTGGCGCAGGCAAACCATAGCAAATTAGTGGTTGCAGTTATCGGCTGTAATTCCACTGTCACTATTCAGTTATTTGCAAATTATTCATCATTTGCAATTGCATATGCATTGTGCACATCTGTCCTCTAGCTCTCTTTTATTAGTAAATTATGGAGGAAAGACTCTCTTAATGGAAATCTTATTTATAAATCAAATCCATATGTGATGTTTAACAAAAGTAGAACCATTTGAATTCTTTCCGTAAAGGAATTTAATTATGATTGAAGCTGAACAAGTATTAAAAATCAGCCATGAAACAGATGAACTTGAACCTGCCAATGTTTTATTACATTGTAGGCATCGCAGCAGTTCGGAAATGAAATGAAGTGGCGTTAAAAGGTTAATGTTCTATTGCATTTGAAAATAACATACTAACTAAACTGAACCCAATAAACCTAACCAATAGTGTTAAGAAAAGCAAGCGTGAGATTACAAATACATGTACTGAAACAACCATGCCATTTTAGCTTGATTCTACAAGTCTTTGAACTCTTTTAATGCAAGTGCAATGCTGTAACCAGGTGAGCTACTGACCAAGTTTACTTCATCAGAAAACTAACATATATAGAGCTGGTTATGTGATACAAACTTTACATATCATGCACTATGGTAAAATCGTTTGAGGTTAGTCTGCATTTTTCCAGTGAACCTATGTTGGTTGCCTTCATTCTTTTTACACTGAACTATTTTTCACTATAAGCGTCATTACTGGAAACAGCATTTGTGCATTTTATTTTTCTGCCAAAAAGTAGAAGATTAGTAACAGTTAAAGGGGTCATAGGATGCTACATGCACTTTTACAAGTTGTTTGAACTGAAATGTGTGTTAGCAGTGTGTGTACACAACCACCCTATAATGATAAAAATCCACCATTAACATTTAAAGGGAAATGCTACAAAAACGGCTTGATCTGAAAAGAGCTGTTTTTGACAGGGTAAAAAAGGTGTTTTTACACTACCATTGAGAAATTTTAACCAAACTATGTTACAGACTGTTCATTAAGACCCTAAAGAATCATCTCAACTTGTGGAAAATGGGCATCATATGACCCCTTTAAATATTTTCATCTGTATGCTAGGCATGCCTCTTGGTGGCTGAAAGTGCAAAGTAATTTCAGGGCCTCAACTGTTTAATAATGACAGATACTTTGCAGACACATTTACAGGCTCCTAAGAGTCTCTGGAACCCTGGATGGGACCAACATCTGGGATGGGACCAACACCCATAGTTATGTGCTATTATCTCTCGCCTCTATTGGCCAAAGAGCCATCACAACTAATGCAGTCATCATCGCCCTAACTGGAATGCTAGGAACTAGAAACGGCCCTGATATGCTGAAGTGTGTTAAAAGTGGAAATGCAGCTTGCGGCATATTTATGTGGCTCCTGAAGATGCATTCCATTTCTGCAGAGTCTGAGCTGATGTAGGGTTTTCATCTTGGTCTCTGAAGTCTCTCGTGATCTGTTTCACTCATTTGCCATTGTAAAGCTCAGGTTGATACTCCGCAGACCTTCACACAGCATTGTCACAAAAAAGGTTGACTTTGATTTACTCTGAAAGACTTTGCTTCTTTCCGAGTAAATATTCTGTGAGTGTATGTTGACATTAAATCAGAATGATGTCCTCTTTGTTGTATCTTAGCGGTATGCAGTGAATGTCCTGATCTAAAATTAGCAACATTTCATTTACTGCTGGATCTTTTCAAGTCAACATGGATTCAGAATTTACTCTATATTTATTTTGTTAATGCACGTTCATGGTCTTTTTTGAATGCGTCATCTGTGCATGTTATTGTAAAATAAAAAAAAATGCTGGTCTTTTTTATCTTTCTTGAAAACTCCTTACGGACTGACATCACTGAGAACTGCTATTTGTCAACCTCTTGTCACATAGAAACCACTTTTCACAATGTAATCACGATGCGATCTTGTGGCCTAGTTTTTTTTTTCTTTCCAGTTGAATATCAAATAAATCATATTACAAAAATAACATGGATTGTGAATGCTGCTTTTTTGACTTTAAAGGATGTGATATTTTAAGACAATCAGTTTAAATAGTAGAAGCAACAAAGTGTTTTCAATTCAGATATTAAGATGCAGACTGATATCTGAAAGTTTTTTTTTCCTCTCACTAACATTCAATCAAATAAAATGCCAACAGCAAAAAGAACAACAAAAACAGATTAGCTGGTTGACTTAAAAGTCCATAGACGTTGCTGTCAGTTCATACTGCTGTTAACACTATCTCTGACAAGCTGATACAATGAGACCAGTTTTCCGGTTTGGTTATGTGACATTCAGCATATACCTCGTTGTCTAGCCCAAAATCATCAATATGTTTTTCAAACTAGCTTAACACTGAGTTAACATATTTTTAAAGCAACCCATGCGGTATGTCTGAGTGAAACTGGATAAAAAAGAAAAATACACTATCATTCAAAAGTTTGCACACCAAGGCTGCATTTATTTTATCAAAAGTGAAAGTGACGTGACATGTGGCCAAGTATGGTGACCCATACTCGGAATTAGTGCTCGCATTTATCCCATCCAAAGTGCACACACACAGCAGTGAACACACACTCACTGTGAACACACACCCGAGAGCGCTGTACATTCACTCCCCCCACCTACAATCTCTGCCGGCAATCCATGCCTGCCCGCAACCTTTGGGTTACGAGTCCGACTCTCTAACCATTAGGCCACGACTTTCCCAAAATACATGAATGTATTATTTATCAAAAATACAGTAATATTGTGAAACATATTTGTATCATATTCAGATACAAAGCTGAATTTACAGCATCATTACTCAGTCACATGATCCTTCAAATCACTCTAATATGCTGATTTGCTACTCGAGAAACATTTCTTATAATTATCAATGTTAAAAAAGTTGTGCTGCTTAAAATTTTTGTGAAAACAGTGATACGTTTGTTTCTTTTTTTTTTCAGGATTCTTTGATAAACAGCGAGTTTTGATTGCTGAAAAAAAAAATTTAATTTCTTTCTTCTAATTATTATGTTATGAGGCCCTGCTTCAAAGCAGAGCTTAATTCAATTGCCAGAATTAAATTACTAATGAAATATAAAGTGTGCGAAACATGGATTAATATACCCCAGAATTGTTAATCCTGGGATAAAATGACCCTGGATTAACAGTTTGTGTATTATTTATCAAAAATACAGTAATATTGTGAAACATATTTTACAATGTAATTTATTTCTGTGATACAAAGCTGAATTTACAGCATCATTACTCAGTCACATGATCCTTCAAATCACTCTAATATGCTGATTTGCTACTCGAGAAACATTTCTTATAATTATCAATGTTAAAAAAGTTGTGCTGCTTAAAATTTTTGTGAAAACAGTGATACGTTTGTTTCTTTTTTTTTTCAGGATTCTTTGATAAACAGCGAGTTTTGATTGCTGAAAAAAAAAATTTAATTTCTTTCTTCTAATTATTATGTTATGAGGCCCTGCTTCAAAGCAGAGCTTAATTCAATTGCCAGAATTAAATTACTAATGAAATATAAAGTGTGCGAAACATGGATTAATATACCCCAGAATTGTTAATCCTGGGATAAAATGACCCTGGATTAACAGTTTGTGTAGAAAAGTGTGAGAAGCCCATTAGTGATTACATTTTTGCACATTTCCTGGTTTGGCTCCTCCTACAAAAGCTGTCACTGGGGCATCTTTTCAAAAGGTACACTTTTCGTCTTTATTTAATCCTAAAGGGTGCATAAGTACCTTAAAGGTGCATATTAGTACTTGAAATGTACATATTAGAACCTAATAGTACCTTTTGAAAACACACTGCCCCAAGTGACAGCTTTTATACCTTTTTTTTCTGAGAGTGTAGCTATAGCAACAATTATCAGTTTAGCTATGCTTAAATTATCTAATTACTTTTAGGGCAAAAAAAAATGCCCTAAAAGTTTTAAAACCCATGTCAAACGCAGACTTTGAGTGCTTCGCTGCTCCCTCTCCCTAACCATGCCATCTTCTCACACACAAAGACCCAGAACCTGGCTGACATTTCTGACTCACCCTCAGTCCTAGGCCAACTTGGCCAATCCAAGTCGGAGCGCTGTAAATCTCGGGCTGCTGTATGTGAGATTTATAGGAGGACAGGAGAACAGAACTCCCACTGGCCTGCTCTTAAAGGGGGGCAGCAGCTGTAAAAACAGTCCGAAGCGCTCCGTTCTTCCAGTGCTTATCACCCAGTCCACCGCTATGTTGCATCAGACTGGGTTCTTGTCTCCATGGAGAGCTGCTAGGCTGCTGATGTGCACGGCCCAGTATGCTCCTACAGTGGACCCAGAGGGAATTGAAGGTTCCTTCCTTTAAATGAACACCTTTGGCTCTTTTGTCAGCAGATTTTGGATACAATAGACTCGCCCTCTTGATCCCAAGGAAATAAATTTCTTCCCAGAATGACTTTGTTACAGTGTGAGGAGCAAATGAGACGTTACCATAACAACAGATGTGAGGAACATTGGAATTTTATGGCTCCAACAGGATTTTATAGTTGATACAAAACAAGTTCTATAAAAAGTTCCATAAATGTATTCACCAATTTAGAGTTACTGCAATGAACTTTAAATAATGCACAGAGAAATTAGTGCTCATGCCTTAGCATTGTTATTTCTCACGCTTACTAGAGGTAAATAAAAATTAAGAATATTATGTTTCAGTTTTATTTTTGTAAATTATACATTAAACAATAAATTTGCCTAAAAAATGTATTTCAAACATGTTGAATAATTATTATAATTTGAAATGTATACTTTATGAGAATATAAATAATCTAATATAGTAAACCTCTTTCTTATAATATAATATAATATAATATAATATAGGAAGGATATTATAGTTGATACAATACAAGTTCTATAAATATTTCCATAAATGTATTTACTCATTCAGATTTGCAATAAACTTTATAAAATAAAATAAATAAAACAACAAAACATCAAGAAGAGATGCATTAGCACTTTTATTTATTTATTATACCCAAGGTTAATATCTATTTCATTACAAAATACTGCATTTTTACTTTTGCAAATTAAACTACACATAAAACAATATATTTTGTTCTATGACTTTATTCACATTAGTTTTAAAATCTTCAATTTAATTTAATTTAATTTAATATTTAATTTTATTTAATTTTATTTAATTTTATTTAATTTTATTATTTTATTTTGATAATCTCTTCAACGGGACTACTGACTCTTTTGCCTGAAATAAGTTATAATTTATTATAAATTATAATTGGAAATATGCTTTATAAGCAGGGCCGTCCTTAGGGGGGTGCAACTGGTGCGGTTGCACCGGGCCCCGTGGCGAACGGACCGAGGGGACCCCCGGAACGCGATCGCGAACAGACAAAGGGGGGCCCCGCTCCCTACCTCGCACAGGGCCCCACGTCAGCTAAGGATGGCCCTGTTTATAAGAATAATATAATATCATATCATATCATATAATTAAAAAAATTCTAAAAAAAAAAAACTCTCACCCTCATTACTTTTCATATCACTTTGCGCTCATATCAATTTGGTAGATGCAAAACACTGCAGAAAGCCAAATTATTCAATGCTTTCAAAAAACATGATTTATTCCCTTTAATTCCCGTAGGCATTTCCCACCAATATAAAAACTGACGCAGTCACCTGTGTGCTTGAACTCTAAATAGTGCAGTGAGCACACACAGCAGTGTTCTGCTACGTAACGAGACATTCAGAGCTCACGTGTATGTTCTCTGTGACTTTATAGGAACACAACAGCAATAAACATCCAGAGTCACTTGGGAGGCCTCGTTTCTGTTTGGAGGGCCACAGGAAAGTCTGGGCCTCTCCATTAAGGTCTCAATATTATCATCAAGCCTTCCTTGGTTGCAGCCCTCACATGAGAAGATGTTATCATGTCTCCATTGCTGCCGCTACATCTGTCTGCTCATGATGGTGCAGCAATCCAAAGTATGTAGTAGAAAAACAGAGCAGCTTCCTGCTTGCTCCATGCAAAAAGGCCTGTGTGACCTAAGAGCTCAATTAGAAATGACTGTCATTTGAAATGGAATTAATTGCCTCCATAATAAATGTATTTCTTTCATGTGAACAGGGCTGAATTCAGAATGCGTGAGTGTATTTGGTTTTTGTCACACACAGCAGTAGAGGCGCATAGATTTCACACTGTTTGTTGTGCAAGATGTCGTGACACCAGATGTGCTAAATCATGTGACGTATGAAGCACACGAGAACACAAATTTAAAAGCTAATGAATGGAGGAAATTTATAGGACATATATTTTGTGGAATCTTAAAAACATGGACGCAAGGATATTATTTTTCTGTACTTTTAAGCGTCTTGGAAAAAGTGGTGAATATATTTGTAAGGATACTTTTCTCCTTAGACCACCTTAAAGTTTAAAGCAACAGAGAAAGTCTTGAGGCTGCCACCTAGTGGTACAGCAATCCTAAAATCCATTAGTGACAGAGAATTAAGCATATTTATTTATTTATTTCAAAAGATAAGATTATTTGGCATTAAAAATATCTTTGCATTACTTAACTACAAGAAAACGATTGATTGATTGATTGATTGATTAATATTTGGCATTAAAAACAGCTTTGCATTATTTAATTCTTGTGTTGCAAGACTCAGAAAAGTAAATTTGATATTATATTTTATACTTTCATACTTTATACACATTTACATCTATGCATTCAGACACTTTTATCCAAGAGGGACATCATTTTTAATTTTGTCACATACCCAAAAATATTTATAGTATACAATGCCATGCTTATTTGAAATTATTACAAGTTACAGTACAGTGTGTGTGTGTGTGTGTGTGTGTGTATGTGTCTGTGTGTGTGTGTGTGTGTGTCTGTGTCTGTGTGTGTCTGAGTGTCTGTGTGAGTGTCTGT